CCCTGCGTCTTCTCTACACCGATCGACTGCGCGGCCATGACGCTGGTATCCTCAGTGTTGGCATCGATCCGAACTGGCGGCACATAATACCGCCCGGCCAGCCCGAGGTGGTCTCCGAGGGCCACTGCATCGCCGATTGCACCGGTCAGACGATACCGAACAGCGGCATTAACATGTTCGCCGTGATCATGCACACCCACCAGCTCGGCAGAAAGGTCCGCCTGCGGCAGATCCGCGCCAGCGAAGAGTTGCCGCCGATCGCCGCCGACACCAACTACGATCCCAATTATCAGGAGTATCGGAGGCTTCAGAGACCGGTCAAGGTGTACCCGGTAAGTACAGTCTTAGCGTACGATGTACGATGTATTGCTTATATACTACTGAAAGATAGCATTTCCCAATGGAATGGCGATACTTTTTCTATTAAAATAATGAATAATAATTATATTTGAGAAGAAGATATCGAATATTGCGAGCTTGAGTTATAGATTTTATTTTAATCGTTATATCAGAATCCAATTTATTGGCTAATTTATTAAACTTACTTCATCCACCCTGCGGCGATAGCTAATGCAATTATAAAACATTCCCGATTAACGGAAGAGGATCGCGAACAGACTCGGGGAAAAGAATCTCAAACTCGAATCTATCCGCCAAGATTTTTTCTTTGAAAATAATCCAAGATTATTCTTAAGCGCGCTTCGCGAGCAACTTACGTCTTCTACAGCGATCCTTTAATATATTCTTATTTTTCTGTTCTGTTTCCGCCGTGTTGCACGCTTTTCGTTTACTTGCCGCGAACATACTTCTAGCTGTATTATAACCCGTAGCACGTATCAGAAAGTTTATGAGCTTGTTATAAAGTTTATTAACGTGCAATAAGTATAGCTTTGATCACGTAAAGTGCCGACATGCTACAGATGCAGGGCATGAACCTGAGTTTAATTGTTTGAACGAGCTTGAACAGGGTGGTCTTAAACGTGATTACGTGTTAACATAAAGTAAAAATAATTATGACAGAATCGAATTGAAAAGTAAAATCATTGAAAATCACTACGGCAAAGTATCGATATATGCATTGCGATTTTGCTATATCAATCCACAAATTTCGACTTACACTTATATATGTCACTGCCATTTTTTAATTGTTTTATTAAGTTGATGATCGGAAGGTTTCAAAATTTTCAGATTCTCTGTTCAGCCTAATATTATTCAGATGATTATTTTATGTTATAGGGCGATCATTTAGTCACCGAGTGCACGTACTCGTCCGAATCTCGTACGGCCATTACACTCGGCGGCCTGGGAACGAGAGAAGAAACTTGCCTGGTGTCCGTTCTCTATTATCCTCGTATTGAATTATCTCTTTGTTATTCATTGCCTTCGCTACCGACGGTACTGCACAGCTTGGGAATCCAGAAATTAATACAGTAAGTGACATTTCCACAAATTTATAACCGTTTACGTCAACAAAAAATCGTCTGATAAGATTTTGAATGAAGACATAATTGAGAAGATGAAAAATGCCAGTATTTTATATATTCTTAAATCTTTCGAAAGACATTTTTAATAGTATTTGAATTAATTGATTAATTGTAACGAGTCTAAAATTTATCTCGGACATAAATTGTTTTATGACGATTTCTGTTACGTAATTTTAATTGACTCATGTTTGTCTTTTACTTTATCATCGTTATAATTTCAATTGGCAAATCGTTTACGCGAATGAGAAGAAAGTTGATGGTGCAGTTGCACGTTGTTGCCAGTTTATATAGCTCCATGCAGACGATGATCGTTCGACATTTTGCTCTTTGATCATTCTAAATTGGCTATTAGGGACAGAGCTCGTACATTACGAAAGTGCCAGCCATTATTGACTTAAAAAGTGACAGACATTACCTCGCATCAGACGTGCCATTGCTAAGATACGCAATATTTAACTTGTTGTAAATTAACTCTTGATAAAATTTCCAAAGTTTATCGTTCCTCTTAATTGTTTTGATGTTTAATAATCAAAGATTTAATAATATGTATATACATATAATACATAAACAGCTGCGATATTCATTTATAAATGAAAAATTTGTACGTAACATAATGATTAAATTGAAATATAGGAAAAAAGAAGTGTATGAAAGGAAACATATATGTGTTTAAATTATAATCACATACTGTCATACTTGGACTGCTCATTTCACCGCCATGTTTTAATACCTCCGATGAGAGTTCCCAATGAAGTGAACCAGGAAATGGGAGCATCCTATTTCTTGGTCCACCCACTCATGTATAAATCACATAATATATTATCATGTAACACAATCAGATCACGTGATATAACACTTATAGACAGTACGCACACATGTGCATAGGTAGATCAAATAAAGACGGCTCCTCAGAACTACTTTTATCTCTTTACATCACATACAAAATAATCAAAGCAAACAGTCCAATTATAAAAATCTGTGTGAGAGAGACCGCGACTTTACGAGACTTCGTTTTTGGCGTAGGGCTTCCAGTCCGGTGATGATCCAGGAGCCGCCGAACTTAAAAGGCATGACACTCGAGGAACGACTAGTCAGCTACGACTGGGAGTCGAATTTCCAAAGTTTCCAAGAAGCCACTCGAAGCGGCACGTTTAAGCCGTTATGTGGTAGCAGTAAAGGCGCCCTGCCCGGTACAGAAAACCTCGAGGTGCACTACCCACGCATCCTCAGGCCTTACGAGGAAGCGAGCGTGCCCTGCGCAAAGAAGCCACTGCGGAACAAGCTGTCGATGTTGCTGAGCGAGGACGGCGATATTGGTGCGCCCGTTGATCCTGACAGCGACGAGTCGAACGCAGTCGAGCGGGGTCAATTGGTGCGTAGCAAGGTGTCCCGCAGCAGCGACGCGGGTCCCACAGCTGGTAGTTCCTGCGGCCGTACGGTATCGGCGGCTGTGATCCTGGCCGCCGTCACTGTCGTCGCCGGCGCTGCGTTCAGGTGAACGTCGCCGCCGGACGAGCGGTCGTTCGAGTTCACTCGGATCCAGGATCGCCTTGGTCATCCATCGCGATCGAATGGCGGACCGAGCAACAGCAGCAGTAGCAACTGGCGCGTGCGTATGTTCGCGTAAGTATATGCCAATCTCAGCGACGCGACACTTAGGCTTAGATAAATGTTATTGTTCTCCGACCGAGCGCATCCGGGAGCGCATTCGACTCTCGGGTGATTCGATCAGTGGGCTCTTTTTTTTTCGAAGTGGAGCGACCTTTCCGACACTGACTAGCGGCTGGCGCAATCTTCGTCGTGTACCATATCGTGTTTCATACTGGATAGGTAATAAAAGTTACAGCCATTCGGCCTTCGTTACTCCGATACTGAATAGTGAAATGTTCAAAGTGAGATAATTGAAGCTAATTCGATATATTTAATTTAGGAGTGCTATAAATACTCGAAAAATTTTTGCCAGAATTTAATTTAGCTTAACAATTTATATTTGCATTTCATTTATATTTAAAAGTTGAATTTATTTAATTCTTAAAATAAGCAGCTCTCGTAGAGACTTAAGCAACATATTCACGCGCGTATCGCGAAGAATTCGCCAGCCTTTAGTCGAGAATGTCGAATTTCTGCGAGAGGAAAAGGACAATTGCAATCACCATTCGATTCGGTGTAGATGAAACCTATATACATATATATAATATATCATAGAAAACGTAGAAGAAATTACCGAATCCACGTTATCTCGACTTATAGGTGTTGAAATAAAATTATAGTAATTTTACGGAGGCATGTCATCGAAAATATCTCATCCACGTACGGTGTTCGATTTTATCAGTACAAGCAATGTTAACTCTCTCTTTCTTAGTACAGTTACATGGCTGTATTAAATTAAGAAATACCAAAAATAAGGAGGATAAAAATATAAATCTAATAAAATAATTAAAAGTACATATACACATGTGTTTCACTATTTTTTAATTAAATTAAATTTAATTAACTTTTTATCTTACAAAGAAATAGTTCTTTTGAAGAATCAATCTTGAAAAAGCTCCGTTTCACATTTACCTTAAGGCAAATCATTCTATGAAAGTTATTTTCAGAAAAACCTCTATATACAAAAATGTATTATTAGAGGTATGGAATATTATTGTGCTGCACTTATTTAGAACATATTCTTCAAGTTTCAATTGTAAACACTTTTTTTTATGTCGTTTAAAATTTTTTTTTTTTCATCGAGTCTTCAATTTTTAAATTCTGTCCTCGATAGCTTTTGAAAATAGGCACGATTTTGAAACTCGAAATGACGATAATCAAATATTCATCTTGGCATTTAAAAATCGTTCAGAAAGGAGAGAGTTAATGACACTGGCTGGCCGGAAGCCGGATGTGGATGTGCGGCATATTAATTTTCGCCCGTGGTAAAACCGAGCACGAGAGATCGGATCTATCGTGCTCTCGTTTCGCGATCGGCTTTTCTCTTTCGCGACTTCCGTTCGCGCGTACCATTGTTATATAATAGAGAATTTTTTTGCGAGCACTACTCTTCGAAACACGGTAAAAGCGGAAGTCCCACGCTCGAAATATCTATAAATTGTCGAGACAGTTTTCACTTGAAATTTATATTATTATTTATATTCGGGACATTTGCATTTACCATATTCGAAGTACGCTGTTGCAGAAAAGTCTATAATGTCCCGCGTGCTCGCATAAAACGACCGTAGCAGGATATTTCTCGGATACGAATACATCGGCTCTGTCGTACTTTAACTGCAGCACATTAGAAATCAATAATGCAAGTTGTGATGGAAATGAATAACACGAGAACTTCCTTGTTCTTTATATACTATACATTCGATGCCTCGATATATCGATTCACAGTAATAATCAAAACTTTAAAGAAATTACATGTATTATAAGAAGGGACCTATAAATAATTCTGTTCTGTGCAAAATTATTTTTAAAATCTTGATAAAATGTAAAGAATAAATGAATTAAACGTATTGAATTATGGACTGCGATTATAATTAATAAATAAGATATTATGAAAAATTATAGTAATAAGATCAAGTAATATTTTATTTTTAATAACTTGTAATTAAGAGCTAAACTTTATTGTAGAATGTTGTAAATATTTATGTAATATTCTTAACATTATATGAAAGATAATAATCGAAATCGTACGAGTTCGTTTCATGCAAATGTACTTCCTATCATTGAATACGAAAGTGACTAGTGACTGCACTATTCATTCATACTTTAAATTGATTAGTTCGTCTTGCGATCACACTGCCTGATAAAGCTGCCGTTCATTGTTGTTGCCTGTGAGTCATTTTATCATCATCGATTTCGAGACACTGCCTTGGCGCTCCCATACAAAGCTACTTTAATTTTAAGTCACATTAAAATGTATCTATTCCATCTTGATAGGTGGAGTAGGTAACATTTAATAATGAAAGCAATGGAAATACTGTTGGAAATACTTTTTTTTATGTACGACTTCTTCGACTGATGATCGAACGAGAAATATCCTAATAAATTTTCGCGATTATTGTCGACAGAGCGGAATATTAATTTAAAACTTCTTTCGAGCTAATCGCAAGAGTTTAATTGTTGGCTGTTTATTTGCTGTTCGAGAACCGGGCGAGATGTCGCGATTTTTGCGAAAGAACGTTTTGTGAATTTATTTTTCAGGATACGACATATGCTTTCTCCGAAGTTTTTCCAGTGCGGTACTTCCCAATTTTATTTAGTGTTTCATAATCGAATTTGTTTGCTAATAAAATAATTGTATAACCGGGGTACATAGAAACTATGATTAAATTATTGAAATTAAAAAAATATAGATGTATACAACTTCCCCCAAGTTACTTGGCGTTAAAGACTTGCTTATAAATATTCATTTAGAATATGATAAAAAAATATTTTAATTTTTTATCGTATTTTGAATTTTTCTATGGAAGGGAAAGTGTAAGATCGAATCAAACGAAGAAGGTTAAACAAATCGAGTGACATCAATATTTTTATGACATTTTAATCCAAATTTCAGTAATTTTTTCATATTGACTTAACAAAAAATTAATTTGGAAAATTAAAATCCTGAAAGTTCTTTTTTGTTTTGCGCACAAGAAATATATTTATTATAATAAAAGCTAATCGTAAAAAATTACTTGGAATACGTTTGGGAAACACTGTTCTTGATGACTTCGGCGGTCACGCAATAAATATGTGCGCGCTTCACTACGTCGTGCTCGCACGGTTCTCGCCAAAGTCTGTATATTTTGTTAACTAGACTGTAGCGATAAAGGTGCATTTTTTATAGAGATTGTATAAGCATTGGTTGATTTGCACGCGATGGTAATTTCGTGCGAGAATCTAACAATGTCTCGCTATCAAGAATCTTATTTCGCAATCTCTTTCGTTGAAGCGTTTTACGAAGGGGTGTGTTACTTAACCAACGTTTATATATAAATATATAAATAGATACACTATATATATTATATTATACATACCCGACGACTCTTTGTAACATTCTGTACAGTTTATTACGTGTAACGTTATTCACGCGCGCTTGTCAACGCCCGTTGTCGTATATGGGCGGTTATTTATTTTTTATTTAATGTGTACAAAGCGATATAACTTGCGACTTGACACATCTCTCATTGTTGCGTACACACATACACACAACACACGTACACAGACACGCACTTTCGAGATTTGGAACAAATCTGATACACCCAGGGACACTCGATTTTCCAATAAATTGTGTGATTCTTATTAATTGTATATTCGTATTAGGGATATCGAAGAGTAATCGATATGCGCTTGAAAGCACGATAATTTACGATTGCTCAACGTATAAACTAAGTTATGATTTATAGATTAAATGTAAATCTATAATTGAGCGAATTATAATTTTGTAAGGTATTTTTTTTAAACGAAGAATTATTCGATTTTACCAAAGTTCTGTTTATCTTCAGTTTATTGATTAATTAATATAATTACTATTACCATTATGAAATTGATGTTATTATTAGCCGCATCCTTCAATCAGTTGCACGAAACAAATTAATATAGATGACGTGCCTAGTAAACTCGTGAACGTTCTCAAGGGCCAAACGAACGTTTTGAACGATACGATCTGCATGGCGATTTGCATTCGATTCGAAAGCTTCTCCTGATAATTTCCATTTAAATGACTCTCGACTCGGATTTGTTCTTTATCCTACCTCATTTCGAAATCAAACGAAACGGAAGTGTCCCTAAACACGCGCTGTTACCGATTTCAATTTTGCACCGATATTAACAGAAAAAGAAAAGGAGAAACGGAGAGTTTTGTTGGCTAAAATCAACTTGAAATTTTTTCATCGAGTTCACATTTTTCGGTGTTAGATCGAAAAATTATCTCCCTCCCTCCCTTCTAGCATAGCGAAATCTTAAAGTAGGCGCGACTAATCGGTATCGGACACGTAGGTACGTTTTACAATTTAATACTAACTGGTAATTCGTAAATGTCATAGGAGAATCTGTGTGTGTAGAGAAGATCTTAGGGCAATCGAATGGCCGTATCTTAACCCTTAAGCAGTCGGGATTCTCGAGTCAATGCCTCGTAATATCCATTAGTCATAGCGTAACACATTTCTGCAAGCAAAAAAATCGAACTCGTGAGAAAAAGAATCAATTAAAATTTAAAAGGTTTTCGAGATAATAAATGACTTTATAAACGTTATTTTTTATACATAATTTTTTTGAAAATTATATTATAATTTGTATTACGAGAAACAACGGACTCCGATCGTCATCGACTACTTAAGGGTGACAAGCAGCGCGAAAGTCATTCGTTCGTAACCACGCTGTACTTGTCGAATCGAAATTGCTGAGAACCGCAGTATACATGGCTTTACAAATATTTTGTTCCGATTGGACCCGGTTCAACGGCGTGAATGCGGGGAACTATATCCTGGCGATAGAAAGCGATCGGCGTTGCTGGACGATAAATCCGCGTATGACGTCGCCTCCTAACTGCGCTCGATGGTACGTACTGCAGGTAGTTGTTCGGCGAACTATTTTCGATATCTCGCAGTACGTCGAACAATTATTACGCAAAAGAGACCACCTCACCGCAGCGTTTTTTTCCGATAACCCGTTATCCGCAAGCAGGCGAGTTTCTACCGCAGAATTATTGAATATTTCCGAGAAATTTGTTCGTTTAAAATGGAACGCTCATATCGACGGTAAGTTCGTATAGAATACATCGCGATTAAAGCGTTTTGCCTGAGAATTCGAGTGCGGGAAAAGTTTTTCCTGGGAATCACAAATGTTTTAAATTTTCTTTTAAAGTGAGGTTTCTTTAAATGAATAAATCATTCGTGGGAAGATTAAGTACCAACTGTCGATGGGATCCGACTGAATTATTATCTGACACGTCGATCGACACAGTTTTCTCGATGGAGGCCCCACACGCAAGAATACCATCCATATTAAGGTACTTGTAGCCACAGAATTTGCGACTGATTCCGCGGATTCGACGGATTCCGCTAGAGTTTCTTTCTCTTCTCGATTTTATCTCTCTACCTTGTCTTCATTGCGTGGACATGCATGTTAGGATCTGCTGAATATCGGACGGTTTTTAACTTCGTCAAATGGACTCGTAATAAATCGATGCGCGATGAGCGGGGACGACGCGATGTATCGTCCTCGTTTAAGGAGTTGATGTACGTCGTCGACGAATGCTGAGGATCCTGACGGTCTCTCGTTGCGGACCGTAGGCGACGTGAATGGATGCTAAAGAATCGCCGGTGATATGAATAGAACAATCAAGCGAAGCGTCACGAGTTGTCCTTTAATAAACTGGGATAATTATTATGTTAGGTAACACACGGTAGCGCGATGTGTT